TTGGATGTGATGCCGTGTAGTCCGGTAAAGTTCACTGATATTTAGGGAAAAAGTATTGTCTCCCTCTTTAGGGAAGACTATACGGTGTCAGATCTTAGAAGGAGACATTCATAATGAACGCTGTAGGAACCTGAATTTCGATCAAAAAATCTAACTTACAACGAATACCTGAAATATTCTAAGATATGGCATATATTTAACAAAATACAAACTAAACTGCTTTTGTAAGATTTGAGACTTTTGCTTTTGATTCTGTATAATAATTAGTATCGCTTTTGGTGATTTTCCTCAGTCCAGCCACGAAGATACCAGAGCAGTGTACCTAATTTAAATGAAGCTACGAGTTTTCTTGCACATTCCTTCCAATTCATCTTTCAGAAATCATATACAACATCAAGAATTAAAAGCATTATTAAACAAATTAGGATTACAACATATTAAAATAAAAGCTTTGTTTTGAACACTTCAGATGTTATGTAGATCTCGCAGTCTATGCAGGGCAATAACAGTAACAAAAACAGTTTACGCCCCTATGCAACGTAACGTATCTACACAGTCTTCATTATCTTTGTTACATGCGAAATTAATACGAAAAACAATGACGGAATCAAAACCGGAAAGGACCATTATAAAAATATACACGTACTTGATATGATGGGATTTTGGACTTTATCCATCGTCCTGGTTTTTAAGATAACAAATAAAAACACGACGTTTCGGAAACTGGATCTGTNCTACATACACGTACTTACTCAAACTGGACTATCTTTGACTATATCTGCGATCCGGTAAACAAAATCTATGGGTATCTGTTTTCCTTTTATTATTTAGTCCGATTCACAATCTTGTATTACAGGCACGAGTGTTACAATATTGAAATTGCAGACAGAAAAACAACCACAGACCTAACTAAGAGTGTATGCGCTTGTGAAAGATCGTAGACCATACACAGGGAAGATCATGCCTGAAACGAACAAGACAGATACGAACGTCACTAGGGAGAAATATGCCTGAAATCCGCAAAACTGGAGACGTAATGAAGGGAAGAAAGACTGCCCGAAATTCGAAAATTCTGAGGTGGGAACGTAATGAGAGAAGACCGCCTGAAATCCGACAAAATGGTGTTTCCAAAAATGGAAAGATAGTATTGCACCCTGTACACATGAAAACATAATTCAGCGACTTAGTAGTCTGGTATTTCAATAGAACTAAATTCAAGAAAACTGTCAACAGAAATAGGAAGTTTTATTTAGGAACAAATGAGTCTGGCTGCGCTATGGGTAGCCTATCTCGGATTCAGGAACGTCGAATCCCATAAAGAGTATAATGTCCATGGGCACTTGGTCGCTGACAGTGGCACTTCATTTTAATGGAATCACTAAGATCATCACTGTTGATAGTACGCCTAATGTATCGGAAAGCCGAACCCGGTGGAGCCTCAGCTTAATTACATTAGCGTGTTACGTAACCTAGTGCCATGAGCAGCAGGTCCCGCGACTTAATGAGCGGCTGTGGATTCTTTATCCAGTTCAAATATTTGATTGAGGCAATGACTATAGCCACCACTTAATTAAAAATACAGCATCAAGCCATTAGTACGGGCTTGTGAACACAATGCAACGTGACAAAATCCCGGGCTAAGATATTTAGGAACAAATCTCCAATTCTCGAAATTACTTTTTAAAGTCTGTGGTCACTAACATACTAACTTCATGGAGCTGAGCCCTTCTTGAGAAGCCGCCAGCTGTGCAGCTATTCAAGAAATTCCCGGCATTTTATAGAACACGAAGGCACATTAGCCTACCGTCTTCACAAGAGCCCGCCATTGGTACCTATCCTGAGCCAGATCAACCCAGTCCATAACACCCCATCCTGTCTCTCTAAGGTCCATTTTAATATTATCCACCCACCTATGTCTTGGTCTTCCTAGTGGTCTCTTTCCTCCCGTCTTTTCCACCAATATCCTATATGCATTCCTCTTCTCCCCCATTCGTGCCACATACCCTGTCCATCTCATCCTCCGCGACTTTATTTCGTATTTGAGATTAGCAAAGGAAAGCTCTCCTTCATCTATAAAGAATTAAATATAACTGTTTGTGTCCTTTCAACTATAAAAGTTGTATGCAATAATGTAAATATAATCCCTACTAAAAGGTTAGTTTTCAAAATAAAGGCTAGCATACAAAGGGTTAAGCAAAACAAAAATGGGAATACAGTGAGACATACAGCCATGTTCTGCAGTACCAACAGAGTTTTCTGTGTTTCAACATGTGCGAATTTGTGTATAAAAACATCGCGAATTCTCGACTGCATAGGCCTATAGGCCGCATTTATTGAGGGGTTACGGATTCAGGTCTCCTCCCATGATATGCTTACAACGGCCAGAAGAAGGTCTTTCATTTTCTGACCAAATTTAATTAATAAAAGAAGGATTCTGTGATGATGGATGCAGCTAACAGGGAGCGGGTTTGACGTGTTTGAATCCTTAGGCAATACGTTGTCCTTTTAACGACTCCACTGACCCCGCAGAGTTCCAGTGTTTTAGGCTACATCCTAACAATTGACGTGGCCCAAAGCCGAGGTTAACGCCTACATACCGAACACCGGCTGCTAAAACCTGTCAGCTATGCTTCGTCCACATCTACGGAGTGGCCATAAACACATGCCAGGCTGATGAAGTCTATCCATTCTACGAACCAGGGAAGCGCTGTAATCCCAACCAGTCCTTCAGGTAGGTACGAGTAAACAGGTAGTAGTCGCTCGGAACGAGATCAGGGCTATAAAGATGATGGTCAAGCAACTCCCAGTTGAAATGCTCCAGCAGTGCTCAAGTGAGAGCAGCTGTAATCGGACGCGCATTGTCAGGGAGATGCATTACACCGGATATCAGAACTACACGCCTTTTGTTCTGAATGGTCATATGCAGTTATTTTAGTGTTTCGCAATACACTTCTGACGTTATTGTGGTCCTTATTGCATGAATTCCACCATCAGCACTCCTTTCCCGTCCCAGAAAGCAGCTGCCATCAGCTTTCTGACAGGCAGACGTTTATTTTAAACTTTTTTTTTTTTTTTTACTTGTTTGGTGAATGTGTGCGCGTCCAGTGCTCTGAATTCACTTTGGTTTCAACATTCACAGACGAAACCCAGATTTCATCACCTGTTACTCGCACGATGTGATCGAGAAATTCATCGCCATCTTCGTGGTTTCGCTCTAAAAAAAAAAGGCAAAGGCGAAGCAAAAGTGTCTGGCGCAAAACTTGTGACAGCCTAGCCTAACTGTAATAATAATCTAATAGAGAACAATGTGTGAAATTTGTGGAAATTCACATGAAAGATCCAAAATTGTGAAGCGCCCTCTTTCATAAAATTTTTGGTCAACACTTTGAACAAGATCATCACTCATTACAGATCGCTCACCACTTCGCTCTTCATTGTGAACTTTTGTTCGTCCGTCCAGTTTTGAACAATTTACATCAATGACTTAGAGTTCCTTCACTCATTACATTTTGGCCGTAAACCGCGCATAAGTCACGGTGGATTTCCGCAGCACTCAACTTTGGCGTGAGGAAAGCAGATAACAGCTTGAATTTCGCAGCTGCTGGGATTATCAATCGCAGGACATATCACAACTCACCTTGTAGAGACAACAACAAACACTACGTGTCCAGTTATGTGATTATTTACAAGGCAATGAGTCATGTGACGCTACAAAGAATACGCGAGCTATTCCCTGCTCGTATATCGGTTGCCTAAAATAAACTGAGGTTACTTTCCCAATAGCCCACGTAAATTCTAGTATATTTGTGATGACGTAACAGTCTACGTCATAAACTGACGATGCCGAACACTCATGTCCATAGCAAAAGGAGTATATGATGAAAATGCTTGCTGCATATTCGTCGAAAGCGGGGAAGTTCGAGGGAGTGCGGTTCACTACAACAGACAGCGCTAGAACTAGAATCTGCCGCGACGCAGAACACGGTGAACTCACCACTACACCACCCTTCCCACCAACACAACTGCGTTGCCGTTTCATAAATTTGCATTGCTCCATACAGTAACATGTGCTCAACTCAGGCTGATAACAATTCTCGGAAATTGCGGTTGCGTTGCGGTTGCCAGTTTCCTTGGTGTGCCCTCGTCTCTACAAGCTCACTCTGCTGTTATCTCTCAACCCAGATTCCTGAAGGCCATCTCCTTTCATCATACCGATGTAACAACGCTGTGCACTGTGCTAGTAACGGCTCACGTTACCGGCGTCGCAGAAATGCAGAAGCTGGGCCCCGCATATTGTTCATTAAGCCGATGTTTCCAGTCTGGGGACTAGGGATAGATCAACTATAGGCCCATGGCAAATTTGGTGGCCATGTCCTTCCCTGTTTGTTGCAGCTCCCTCCGAATCCTCAAGTCCTACTTTCTCTCACGCAGACCTCTGCAGATTTACCTGACTCAATAAAGCTCCATTTGAAAGAGTCTTAGTGACATCAGGACAGTAATTCGAGATCAGCTATGATAATTGACTTTCATAATTTTGTACCCGATTCGTTACATCAGTCGATTCATGTGAACTAGGTTTTCTCTAGCAATTTAGTGCCTTTCACGTACAGCCACTTAACAGATCTGAACCTCCTTATGTTGTGACCAGCCAAATGTTAGTCACAGACGAAGTCCCCACCTTAAAAACTGAGGATGTGTTAATGTGCTACCTGGTCAGGGCTATCGCACAACTCGTGGGGCAGTCACAGATGAAAATATGGAGCAATGGTGGAATCACGTTCATCAGGGGAAACCGAGACGAAAACTCTGAGGAAAACCTGCTCTAGTGCCACTTTATCCATCAAGAATCTCACATTAAGTCACCCGGGGTTCCGCCGTGATAAGCCATCGCCTAACAGCGGCCACTCAAAAGACAGGTATCGTGGGAAAAGTTCGGAATACTAATTTCTTATGGAGTAACAATATGTCGCAGCGTTCACCATGAAATGAAAATACATCTGGACAGGAATACATATTCAATACATGATTTTATTCAAGCAATAAATTCTGTAAGGTATTTTAAAACTCTGGCTCTTGTCATAAGGAAATAATATCAATTACATGATATTGACCCAAACTGAAATTGCTTCTTCCTTCGACGTAGAGTAAATCATGCGGCAACATCAATCCAACAGTTAAATTCTTATGGTAATGTGCAGTTCCAAGATTCTGTCCTTAGCGACGGCTGTGGTAAGCGCCGCCGCCGCCGCCGCCGCCACCGCTGCTCCAGCCTCTCCTGCCAGGGCCGCCACCCTACAGAAAATAACAACAGTGTAGGCAACCTCTTCATGATAACATTCACATATCATATACACAAGTGCTGTCACGTTACTTTATGATGGCCCGTGTCTCCGTTACGAGTGAGGAATGGTAAAAGCATTGGATAGAAAGCAAGACAGCGACCTCAGACGCATGACTTACACTAGACTTCTGGTCGTCACTGCATCTGTTATTTAGCTGTGCACGGGCTTGCCTTTACGAGTACTTCATTTTTAATTCTTCGGGTGGGATGAGACTTGAGTCCACTTGCCAAGTTTGCCACTGCTGGGACTACTGTACCGGCCCCGGATGATAGATGATGATGTGAAGAAGTCGATGGAATGAGAATTGGCAGGGGAAACCGTAGAACTCGTAGAAAAACTGCCTCAGCGCGACTTTGTCCACCACAAATCCCACATGACCTAACCTGGGCTGGGCTCGGCTGGAACCCGGGCCGCCGCGGTGGGAAGTCGGCAATTAACCGCCTGAGCTATGGCACAGCCTTTACTTTACTTTACTTATCAGGCGGCATATTAAAAACCGATTACGTTAAGCTCGTTAGTATCGCTGAATAAACTTCCTCTTGCACGCAGCTATCAACAAACTGACCACCACACTCCCTAGAAAGGTTCCCAGCGTAGTCGAATCTTAGTGGTCTCCCTTAAACAACAGGGCAGGATTCGCCGAATTTTTAAGTGCTAGCTGCTGGGCAAGAGGCCTACAATCCTTCACTGTAAAAAGAACCTGCATTTACGAAATGCTATACAAGGTCTCCAAATTGGACGGATCCCCAAAAACGACTGTGCAGTGAAACGAGAAGAACGCAGGCCTAGTGTCTGAGAACGGGCTGTTCACTTCCACATATAAGGGCTCAAGTATCAGGATGGCGAAAATGGCATATTCAAGAGATATATTTATTTATAGTGTGGCGTATTTCATCAACGCGATACCAGGCAATAGCTCTGTAAACACGATAAGCGCACGCAAAAGTAGAGCACGCTGTGTTTCCGTGTGTCTGGTAGCTGACGCTGGAGCGGCGACGTCACACATCAACAGTATGTGGCCGTCACGTGACATGTGTTTCCTGCGTGTCCGTTAGCTGCGCATGTGCGGTGATGTCACACAGCAACAATGGGTAGGGGTCACGTGATATGTGTTTACTTTTAGCAGATGTCGGTCCCTCGGCTATGTTAGTGAGTGACAGCGTTCTCGGTAGGAGACAGCCACGGAAATTTCGTCGACTTGTGAAGAATTAAATTGTGATTAGGTGTCATCCATGTATAATACTTTGAGTGTGATTTAGTGAGACTGTTGTAGTTCCTGCGTTTTAATTGTGATACCAGGAGAGGGCCAGTGTGTGTGTGTGTGTGTGTGTGTGTAAATCAGCCGTAGCGCTGTATTTAAGTGTAATTAAGAGAGAATGTGTAACCGAAGTGCTAATAAATCCAACCATCCGAATTAGAACCCGTCATTTCGTCACGCGTACCACCCTAAACTGGCAACAGCTCGTTCAACGACACTGTTAGAGCTCTTGAGAACACGGTAAGGAACTTCCGCGTTCCATATCATGTTGGAAAATTCTTGAGTAACTGTGCGACTGAGAGCCTTATCAAGAAGGACTCAGCTCCATATTACTTGGCTAGGGGCCGGACAGCTGTGGCTCGATTTTCGGCTGGCTAGAATATTTTCTCTCCTCCACCGTGTTCAGATCAGCTCTGGGGGTCATCAAGTGGTGGACACATCCATCTAGCGCTGATTTTACGAATGCGCGAAGCTAAGCCTCTGTTCCCACATACGTCTTGCTGGTGTGGTGTTTAATGAAGGACGGGAACACCTTTACCTTCATTTGTGACGACGCTGCCAGCAGTTCGAATTATAGACCTAGGCACTTCATGTCCAATGGTAGGATGATTGGTGAACAGTGAAATGGGAGGTGTAAGAAAGCAGTGTTGCCCTGAGCTGAGGTGCCATCCCAGATTATGCTTAGAGAACCCGATTAAAACCACGAAAATTTTCAACCAGGCTGGTCGGTCGTCGCACCTATATTTGAGCCAGGTAACTTCGGAATACAAAGCAGGAACAGCATTGATTTGGTGAGGGAATTCAATATTTTTACTCCATTAAATATTATTGGGGTGATGAGACGGGTGGGGAATGTAAAACCTGAAGGCAAACCTAACCTAGATGACGGGATTTATATTAAAATTGATCTTAAAGAAACAGGGAATGGCATGAACATGCGAAGTGGCACAAGCTTCTTTACATGCCATAAGATTCTACCACGAAGTAAAGAAGAACAGCCTTTGAGAATGTGGACTGGATTCATCTGGCTCAGGATGTGATAAAGTGGAACGAATCTTTCGAAAACGGCAATGATTCCATGGAAGATGTGCAATCTTTTCACTATATGAGCGACCAGTAGCTTCTTAAGGACGAGCCTGCTCCAGGTGTTAGTTAGAGCACAAGAAGAGGGGGACTATAGGAGTTGTGTTAAGGAAGCTCAGATAGGAAAGTCAATGTAACTACAGAACACGACTAGTGACTTGCCTAAGTTATAGATTAACTATCCCACACACACCTCCATATCCCACTTCTCCAGTGATATCGGCCACATCGGTGCTGGTGCGCGCACACGCACGCAAGCACACCCTTTTATAATTAGTTAACTCCAACCAATATAAAAGTTGGGCCGCGCCATAGCTCAAGCGGTTAGTCGTTGGCTTCCCACCGCGGCTGCCCGGGTTCGATCCCGGGTCTGGTCAAGTGGGATTCGTGGTGGACAAAGTGGCGCTGGGGCAGGTTTTCTCAGAGTACTTCGGTTTCCCCTGCCAATCTTCATTCCACCAACTGCTCCACAATCACCCTCACCTATCATCTGGGGATGGTACAATTGGCCAGAAGTGGCCGCAGTACAAGGAACTTAGTCCCACCCCACTAGCAATAAAAAAATACAAAAGTTGCCGTGAGTGATTCTAAGAACCTTATTAGCCAATTAGTCCTAATAAGCTACATAATGGTTTACTAATTTCTATATCTAATCCTGAGGCAGGAACATATGAGTACTCAATTTTCACTGCGTCAAGTTAGTAGCTCAAGGACAAGGAGCCCTTCAGACTAAGGACTTCAATCTTCCGACACACGTCTACTAGAATTTTAAGATTAAAAATATAAGGTTTTACAACACTTCTTTCATGTAAAATAAGACAATAAGTGATACAAAGAAATGCAATTCTTGAGATGGAGAAAGTCTTCATGAAAGAAGAAAAAGAGATACTTTTTATCTTCTGTTAGATAGGGCTAGTTCCTGAGAAAGATGCAGGGAAAGTCAGGTTTCAGAACATTCCTTTGTGTCGAGAGAACAAATAACATAAAGAAAGCAATATAATAAAGAACACGAGAGTCAAAGAACCGTCACAAAGATGCGCTATCGATCTAACAAATACTGGACATCTTGCATCGTCCCGTCTCGGTTAAACAAACACAGCGTTTCGAATGCTGGCTGTAATTCCATTATCAGATAAAAATTTGAAGCCTACTCTGCTGAGCACATGAGACGGATAACTGTGAAAAATGTCCAACATAAGTCAGTTAGAAAAATACTTGTTTATTACGGTTACAAGTACTTACACGCCTGTTATTCTGATTGCCGTTAGGGTACGAGCCATAACTGTATGATCGCCCTTGACCATAAGCAGATCTGCAACAAGTAAACAAATACAAAATGTTAAATAGCTGGACGATTAGATAAATGTGTTGCTGGTTCTTCACTGGGTTAGTTTTCAACACTGTATAAACTGCTCTGATTATAGAGACCTCGATTATGACCGACGAACAGGAAGGCGTGTGGAAGGAAGCAGCTCTGGGCCACCTAAAGGCATTCTCCTCGAGGAACAAAGGCGGCAAACGTCTGGCAACCTCAGTCGAGCCAGCTGACCGCATGTTAGCATTTGAATCAGCGTTAACTCTGCGCCAATCCGTTTGCTGAGTTCATTTCTATAACTTTACCGTCAAAGCTGGAAGACAGGCCTATATCAGTAATAGAAATGTAATAAGGCGAACAGGCAGGGCCACTGACTCAAAACAGCTTTCAATGCCCAGATTTCAGAGGACACACAGTGCTTTCAGAGCAAAATAGGGGTATAGAGAAGGCAGGAGTGACATAACAAATATTTTGGTCGGAAAACCGAAAGAAAAGAGATTGTGAGGGGGGCTCAAGAGCAGAGAGGACAATATTAAAATGGATCTTTGAGAAATTGGTTGTAACAATTTGGAGAAGGGAATTTTACATACTCAAAAAGGACTTCGGCCCATGGGAACTTGGGAACATATCGCTCTAAGAAATGAAGAACAGATTAAACATTTGACGAGTTTTCTGGCGGTATTATTCAAGTTTTGAGTCGTTGTTTTTCCTTGTTTCGAAATTAATTTAACGCTTTGTCCGTTAAATATGTGCGTCGAACAACAAATGATCAGGCCTGTGGAAGATGAAATGAAGCCGTGAGCAATATGTTAAGGAGGATGGGAACCGGTCTCCGCGTTATGATTCTAACCGCGAACTCCCGGGTGACGTCCAAGGGGTGTAACCAGCAGGTTTTCGCTGCAGCGTTCCTTGTTATGATGGTCAAAAGCCTCTAATAAATTTCTTTTGTGGTGTATTTTACAATGCTGTCAGTATCTCAGCCTATGAAGGTCTATATCAGGGGTTCTCAACCTTTGCCAGACCGCGGCCCGGTGAATTCTTTTTTTCTATAAGACGAGGGCCTGGTACCGGGCCGTGGCCCAGCGGTTGAGAAACACTGTCGAATGATAAGACGGTTAACGAATAATGGGATGGAAATGATTTGTATAGAAGAGGTTAGGTTCTAATCGGGGCACTATCCTGAGTACTATTTTTTATTGCTGGTGGGGTGGGACTAAGTCCCCCGTACTGCGGCCACTTCTGGCCTATTGTAGCAGCTCCAGATGATAGGCGAGGGTAATTGTGGAGCAATTGGTGGAATGAAGATTGGCAGGGGAAACCGAAGTACTCGGAAAGAACCTGCCCCAACGCCACTTTGTCCACAACAAATCCCACTTGACCAGACCCGGGATCGAACCCCGGCCGCCGCGGTGGGAAGCCAGAGACTAACCGCTTGAGCTATGGCGCGGCCTCTCCTGAGTACTAACCCAACGTCCAGACTATACCGCAGACCAGGCGGAACACTACCGAATATCAAGAAAATACGTCATGACAAGATCAAAGTGTGACTACTCCATACATGAAACCATATTCCCTAAGAAGAAGCAGAACACAAGACCAGCACGACGTATAGAGTGGGAATAATTTGCTCACACATATCCTCATTTTAGATATGATTTTAATATTATAACCGTAATTGTATTAATTCTAATGAAACTATGAATATTTTATAACATAAATAACTTGCTCACACATACCTTTATTTTAGATTTGATTTCGATGTTAAAATCATAATTTTATTATTTAATTTTAACTTTGAAGATCTTGTAACAAGGCACTATCAAAAACAAAGATAACCTTACAACAGGGATCCATACTGGTTATAAATACAGTGCTGAACACAAAACTGCACCTGATGGTGAGCCATTAAGGGTCGAAACAAATTACGCAATAGATATAAGACCTCATTGTAAATAGGTAATTTGTATATTTTCATAGATTGTTGTGCTGACTGAAAATAAATAAATAAAGAAATTGGATATTATTTTGGTATTTACCTGAAGAGACAGACCACAAAAAATTTCAGAATAGGCAGTGTCCCGGCCGACATCGAGAAAATCCCAAAAATAAATGTACAGCGCCACCGCTACAGCAACCTGCTCGTTCTCACTCACGGTTGAAACTATGGTGGGGTTTCAAAATTCCTCATATTCCCTGCAGGCCTACTAGTTGTCAGTTTGTGTATAATTAGGCCATCAAACATAAATGCTTGTAATCTGTATTTAATAAACACCGAATGTTTCGTTTTGAATCCACATCATCGGAGGTACACCCACATGGCTTACAATTTGAGAATTTGTCCAAATTCAGTTTTAAAATCATGTAAGCTTATTTAAACTACAGGATGGTCCATTTAAAAACGCACACTTAATTCAACATCTCACTGAACTTAAAACAATTAAGATTTCACAGAACATGCTGGAAGTGTTCTCAATTGTTCTGAACACACGCATCAATCTTATTAACCACGTTTCCGCCGTGGTGCTGCCGAACGCATTTTCAGTATTTACTTTCTGCTTCTGCGTACTTCTAGCAGTTACCAAAATAATACAAAATAGATACGGGGCATTAGATCCGGAAATGTGGGCGGCCATAACACCTTCGAAATAATCATGTATCCGAAAAATTCCGCCGACATACCCATAATTGTCCTAACCGTGAGACATGCAGCACCGTACTGCTGAAGCAAACAGTCTCCTTTGTGAAGTTCCAGTATACATTAGTGAAAATATTATGTTTCTGAACATTAGCCATTGTCCTGTCTTTATATAAAACACCGTCATATTTATTTTGGCTTATTTTGGACTTCACCCATCGTCTGGTATGTAAAAGACAAAAGACCACGACGCTTCGGAGACTGGATGTGTCTCCGTCTTCAGGTGGATAGGGAAGGATAAACCTACTCAGTTGGGCCCGTTAGAAAGAGCTAGTCTCAATCAGTGATTGGATTCTGTCTCCGCCCTCAGGTACAAGCCTACGCAATTGGGCCCAATCGATAGAGCTAGTCCATATCTCCGGACACCTGTGCCAGCACCAAGATGGGATACACTAGCCAAACACAGCATAAACCATCTGCGAGAGCTAAGAATACATTAAATTATTAAGAAACTCTACACTTATAAGGCCTTGCACCACGACAGAAATCATCACTGGAGAGAAACAGTACTCCTTGAATAATTATGGACATACATGTTTCTGCACTAATTATTAAAAAAGGACAATATAATTCTGCGATATGACGTCACGCACCAAACCTAATCTTGTGGGGATTTCTTGGAATACGCGAGAATTTATTGTCGTTAAAATTCGGTTATTCTGACAACTTACGTTCCTCTTGAGGTGAACCCGGCTTCGTCCGTAATAATGTTATTTAGAAATTCAGTCCCGCTGCGGAGAAGCGTTTGAACCATACGCAGTGGTGTAATCTACTCGGCAGACACCTATAACTGTCCTGAGAAAGCCTCTATATGTGGCAGGTATACAGCTTTAGACATCCTCACTGCGCTACACGACGTTTGGTAGGACGGCATTCTGTTGGCTTAATGGTCTGTGGAACTTACTGCAGATCGTATGGGCAGAGTTTGAAATGAATCATCCGGGGTTTAAACTTATTTTCAAATCGAATAAATAGGTTAAAACTCTTCTGTTCTTTTATTCTCCCAAGCGTCCAGGAAGAAAATTGGGCCCTATAGCATGAAAAAATAAAGTTATTATGCTAAACAGAAACAAACAAAAGCCATTACAGGACAAAAGCGAATTTAGCACGATAATTTAACATAATCACAGGTGAAACGAGCTGTCTGAAGGAAAGAGACACAGGCTATGACCTAGTCTGGCCAAGAGGATAGATGAATTGAAAAAATAAAAAGCTCGGCTCTAACAGCGGTGGCTATAAATATATTTGTATATAATATTGTGACGAATATGACCATTGCTAGGCAACTGTTCGGTAAACACCGACTGAAAGCCGAAAAGAAGCGGTCGTCCATTTGCTAGGTAAACGGATTTAACATCTAATAACATGTAAAATGTAATATTATATTTCAGCAGCTTGCATTGAAGCATCATTCTTATTTTTCAAGTACACCTTCAATAAGGCAACAATGATATAAAAGACACCTAAAATATATATTTAAAAAATGTAACTTTAATACTTTAAAATGTTATTAAATATCATAAAATGCCATTAAGACACTGCAAGTATATCTTGTACACTAAAAGTGACTATAAAAATACTTCAAAATGTCTATTTGTAAGATTTGAGGCGTTCACGGCGGTGACTATGAAGAAAGCAGTCTTCTGGGATTTGGCAACGTGTATATGTGGTGTTAACCGACGTTTCGGAGGAACGTATCACCTCCATCTTCAGGGTAGAAGAAAAAATATAAGAAATCCGCAAGCGAAGAGACCGTGAGAACCGGTAAAAGCAGACCTGCTTGCGGATTTCTTATACTTTTCCTTCTACCCTGAAGATGGAGGTGATACGTTCCTCCGAAACGTCGGTTAACACCACATATACACGTTGCCAAATCCCAGAAGACTGCGTTCTTCAAAATGTCTATTTGTTTTATATGATGTTGCAACATGTTTCGTCCGCACATGGGCCATCATCAGACAACTTTTTATTTTGTGGGGAGACTACTGCAATCTTCACTTGTCTTTCGTGCTCCCATGCACGTTGTTTTGTTGTTGTGTCTCATATTTTGAACACTGTCACTGTATCCTTTGTTCGGCCATCATACTGTAATGTATAATATAGTAATTATCGGGGGATATTACTGCTATCAACTTCATATAAAATGTTGTTCAATATTCTTCTTTCAAGGTTAAGTCCATATATAGATGAAATTATTGGGATCATCAATGTGGGTTTCGACGTAACAGATCAACTACAGATCAGATTTTTGCATCCGTCAGATATTGGAGAAAAAATGGGAGTACAACGAGACAGTACATGA